CTTCTTTCAGACACCGAAAGTGAAGGATATTTGGAAGTCGGTATGAGAAAAAGTATAGCTTTTCTAGATCTTCTGCTGCAGTCTACAATCGATGGTAAGCCATTAAGCAATGAGGATATACGGGAAGAAGTAGATACTTTCATGTTTGAAGGACATGATACGACCACTAGTGGTCTCGCTCACACTTTATATCTGCTTGCTCGTCATCCCAACGCACAACAGAAGGCCTACGAAGAAGTTCAACAAGTGTTAAACAAATCCAAAACTGAACCGATTACTATGAAAGACTTGCAAAACTTAAAGTATTTGGAATGTGTCATTAAGGAGGCATTGCGTTTACATCCTTCAGTGCCCTTAGTAACACGTGTTTCAGAGGAAGAATTCAAAATCGGTTAGAACTAATTTTGGATGCGTTCAGATTTTTCCCTTTTATCTAACTTTGTGTCTTTTAGGAGATTTTACTCTGCCGCGCAATACTCATGTAATTCTACCCTTGTATGCTGTCGGTCGTGATCCTGAATATTTTTCGAATCCTGACGATTTTCTGCCCGAACGTTTTCTATCGGAGAATACTACAAAAATGCATCCGTTTGCTTTTGTCCCCTTCAGTGCCGGTCCACGTAATTGTGTGGGACAAAAATTTGCTATGCTTGAAATGAAAATGATTATCGGCAAAGTATTGCGAGATTATGAAATATTGCCTTTGGGACCCGATATTATGCCAATAATGTCTTTAATTTTACGTTCAACAACAGGTATGAATCTGGGTCTAAAACCACGCGCATAACCTAGAAGATGCGAACGTATATTATTAATATATAAGATATAGTAAATACTAAATGTACGTGAAGAAGAACAAGTAAGAAAATTGTATTCAGCTATGAACGAATCCGTGTTTTTCTTAAGAACCGTAATAAAAAAAAAAAAATGGAAAAAAGACTACATTTCGATACCCTATCATACTTTTTCCTCTTTTGTAGAGAACATGAGAAACCATTGGACCATTTTTTTTCACACAATTGACTTTTTCAAAATGAGAGGCTGTATCGATAAAGGTAATTCGAGTCAACTAAGTCATTTGTTGTAGCATCCACTCTTGGGTCAAAACAAGCCATTCTACCAAATTTCGTAAAAATATCTCAAAATTTGTGATCACTTTGGTGAACATAAGAATATGTGAACAGACGGACGAACGGACGGACGGACATACTTAAATCAACTTAGAAAATAAGATGTGTATCTTAACCCGTTCTTTGTAACATAAAACGTCCAAATTTGACAAAATTAATTTTCTTGTCAAAGAACTTATTATTGTTCACCCGTTTGCTCCTCTCTTCTCGGGAACACTAGTAAAGTAATGGATTAGAAAATTTGTTGATTTTACCGTGCCTTTTCTGGGATAAAAATCCGCTTTAGAAAATCTTATTCATTGTCCAAATTCTTAATTTAGGTGACACTTTGTCTTAATTTCATAGCTTAGACCGCATATTTCTTACTCAAAACTTTCTCATTAAAGATTTTGAGATGTTTTTTCCAGCGGGAAAAGTAAATGAGATTTTATGAGAGAATGTTAAGTGCGATTTGCGGTTTTTGCACTAATAAACAAAATAAAAAATAGTAAGAACATTATAGTGGGGCAAGGCCAAACTGTCAATATCCTACACCACATTCTTATTTTTATTATTGAAAAAAAAAAAATTATATCTTGTTTCTATATAAACGTATATTTTTCAAGTGCTCATGGGGAAGTATTGATGGGGAAGTGGAGCCAAAACGCAATCTAATGTAGTACTAGGTTAATTCTTACATAGAGCAGGGTCAAAAAGTACACATAGAAAGAGTAGAGTTCATTTTTGTATGAAATTACTAATAAGGGCCAATTTTTATTATCACATACTAAAGCATAGACTTTTTTGGTCTACAAAGGCCCAATTTTCGTGAAAATCCTTATTAGAGTAAAATCCAACATATAGGCCGAGATGGTCCAAATTGGGTACAGTTTATTTTTTTATCATAAATTACTATACTGATAAAAATTTCATCATGAAGAATTGAAAATTATATCATTTTATCGTATGAACCTCAGTTTTCGTTCTATGGGTGGAGGTTCAAAAATTGGCCCAGTCGGTTCAAAGTTTTCATAGCAATTTAAAATGTCGAAATACTACTACTTAAGCATATTTGCCGAGAAACTTTAAAAATTACAATTTTTTTTTTTCATATATCGACGATGGGGAGTGGTCGAAAAAATGAACCGATCCGAACTATTTTCAATAGTGTTCATCCATGGGTCAAAACACGTCAGTGTACCAAATTTCATTAAAATATCTCAAAAATTTGCGATCTGTAGCTTGACATTAGACGGACAGACGGACAGCCAAGCTGAAATTAATTCAGATTATGATTCTGAATCGATCGATACAATAAAAGGCGGATCTATCTTAAGCCCTTCTGCGCGTTACATACGCCTGGACTAACTTAATATACCCTGTACCACAAGTGCTGCAGAGGATTTTAAAATATAAAAATTATTTCATGAATTAAAAAAAAACAAATAAAATCAATTGCACACAAGTTTTCATAGAGCAAATATAGTTTTCATGGCTTTCAAGTAATACGATCGAACACAGAGCAATGTATTGACTTACATTGAAAATCGGTGAATCAGCATAATTTAAATTGAAAGTTTTCTAATCATTATGGCGTTTGTAAAAATGTTCAAACGGTTTTCCTCCCGCCCAAATAATTATATTACTTAACTTAAAAACAAGTAAGAACAACATAGTCGGAAAACGTCGAGTGTTAAATACCCTACACCAATCCCCTAGGACAATTATTTACTCACTTTGCTCATAATACATCAAAAATTATATATGTTATTTTCAGGCAAAGGCATAGTTGTCATAAAAGTCCGCATATTGGAGAAAGCCCAACTCGTCATATGACATAATCCAAATTTAGCAAAGTTAATTTACTTTCAAAAAATTTTATTATTGTTCAATCGCCATTATAGAAATCTAGAAATTATACTTTCTCTCTAAATAAGGGTTTGTTTTTCATGATAATCCTTATATAAGTTAGGGTCTAAACAATAGCTCTATGTGTGTAAATACCCGATTATTAATTTTTGTGCTTATTTTGCTACTTTTTTTGAAGGGCTTACTATTGATGAGAAGTCTTATATAGAGTGGGATTCAACATATAGACCCATGTGGTTAAAGTTTGGTCAACTTAATTTTGATGTCAAATTATTATCGTGCACGAATTTTCAGTGTAAAATATTAATAAAAAGGCCTTTTTGGCATATAACGGGTCTACATTTCCTGAGAATTCTCATATGCGGTGGTGTCCAATAACAAGACCTACATGGTCCAAATTCGATAAGGCTGGTTTCTTTGTCAATTCACTATTACGAGTCAATGGGTAGTTCAAAAAATTACCCCAGCCGAACCAAATCTCTCGTACCAATTTAGAGTGACGAAGGACTATTATACATCAAGTTTTGTCAAAAGTTTTGAAAATTGCCCTTTTTTTGTATATATGTATATAAATTATATTATATTAAATTATATATTTAATGGGAAGTGGTCGAAAAAATGGACCAATCCAAACCATTTTTTATATATATACCAAATTTGATCAAAATATCTCAAATATTACGACCTGTAGGCTTACAATAAAATAACGTGGACAGATATCAGACGGGCAAACGGACCGATAGACGATCGATAATAAAATGTGTACGTTTCTGAGTGTTACATAGGTCCGCAGAAACTTAATATAACTTGTGCTGCACAAGTGTTGCGGCGTGTAGATACTAGGTGACATAATTGAAGGAATAGCAAGTGCATAACGATTTTGATCTTCGGGAGATTCAACACTTTTACGTTACCTAATCCTAATGTTACCAATTCGAGAATGTTACGGAAATCTATGAAATGTTTCTATACTGAAGAGGCTGCCTCATCGATCAGAGGCGAAAGCATTGCACTATTAATAATTAATATAAGAATCATAATGACCTTGACTATGTGAACAATTAAATTATGTGCATGTAATAGTATTTTATTCCTATTTCTAATTCAACTCTAAACTGATTGCATTTTCGAACACAAGTTCGTCTATAATATATTATTTTATAACAAATTACCTTAATCGACCAACTTAGACTCAGTATCAATATACACGTTCATGTAAACAGATTTCGAAAGCATTTAGAAAAGACAAAAAAAATAAATAAATAAATAAAAAATAAAACAACGCATTAAAATTGAAAAATCTTTTTTGCGGTGTGAAAGTGAAATAATTATTATGTACTGGATCGCAATAATTCTAATCTTATTAACGATCCTTTTGTGGGATTTTGTTCACAAGAAACGCGTCAGAATTCATTTTCGTAAACATGGAATACAAGGTCCAACATTAACTCTACCATTAATCGGTGACGTTCTAACGACTATGGACATCGATCCCACAAGTAATTTGCTTCGAGCGCTTTTAAGGGCAGCTTAATAAATAATTTATCAATATTTTGATTTATTGTGTTTGTTGTTGCCGATGTTCGGTGTACGGCATCTATGCGATGTTGCTTCCCTTAATTGATACTATCTACCTGCAGATGTCTATAAGGATTTAATGGAAATAGAATTTTTTTTTTTTTTTTTTCTAGAAATGACGTCATAAACTTTGACGAAAAAACTTTTACACGTGTAAAATGACATTTGCCTCACAATGAAATATCGCGAAATAAATAGATTTATGAATTTTAGTTTTACAAATGAAAACGAATCTTACACTCATTCATCCAATAGGCTCGAAACGTCAATAATTGGAAAAATGGATTATGGTTAAAAAAACAAAAAAAAAAAAAAAAAACAGAAAAAAAATTTGGTTTATTTTATTGCTTTCTAGAATCACTGATTGAGGACGTCTTAATGAATTGTAAGACATTTTTGAGCCAAGTAAATGGTTTCCTTGCGATCTGATCTCATCTCGTAGACAATTCGCATAAACATAATATTACTATCTCGTAAGAAGAGGGCGTACAGAATATTTTGCCTTATTGGTGAAAATAAAACCTGTACCTTTGTTTTTGTCTCATTGCTTGGCTTTCGGGTACAACGTTTCCTTATTAGTCCTAAATATTAAACAAACATTAACGAAACCTTACGAGACGTATTCTTCATCAACCATCAGCCAACATTTTAGTTAGCTATTGAGAATTGATGCTGTCAAAATGAAGGCCGAACGGCGCTCGTGAATGCTTCGTGAATTGTGAAATTTGACTATGTAAATTTGATTGCAAAGTTTATCACATCGAGTTTTTTGTAACTCTCTCGGGTAATCAACTGATAGATAGGAAAATTTCGAAAACAAGAAACGTGAATATCACGCTCATATTGAAGAAATTTTCTTAGCTGAGCAAGTACGCGCGTAATGGAAATATTTTGCGTATAGCAGTGTTGCTTGAGATAAAAAATGAATGAATTATAATAACTCCATGTGTAAAACGTGTTTGACATAAACGGTATTTCCAATAGCTATTTGCATCGACTATTCTCAGTTGAGGACCCAAATGATCGCAATTCTAAATGCAATTTGGAGTATTTTATTTTGACAGCTTGTTTTGTATCCTACACCAATTTGTGATTGAAAGTATATTAAATATTTGAGAATGTATGTGTTAGGTATCTATATATACATTTTAGTCATTTTTTCAGTTCAATCGCAAAAATCGGAACAATTGCATGTAGAGAAGTCTTGAAATAGATAAGATTAAGCTGTTCG